TTCTATTTTTTAGTTTGGTTTTCTATAAAAGCGTGTTTTTTAGTTTTTTTTAGTGTGTGTTACAAACATACATGAAACATCATATAGAGTGCCGAGACTAAGAGCATCAATTTGTGGATCACACAAAGTGTTGTCCAATGTGGGGATTGAACCGACAACACTCAGCGTAGTAGGGAGCGTGTTGACCGCTTACACCACTCCCCCATCCGTGCAGTAAATCAAAACAAAACGGATAATAAACCGGCAAAGCGGATTATAACCCAGTGGCATGACTTTTGATTTAGTTATTAACAATGTCAAAATTTATTACAAAGCAAAGACGTTAGTGCCTTTGAAACATTACTTGTTCGTCGCTATAAGTATTTCTCGTATATATCCATGCGTATATAACATACACAAAGTTAAAGCAGCCAGCAATGTAACTAAGAATATATTTGCTACTAAATAATTCTCCTTAATCTTATTAAGAGAATATGTGGCAGTATGTTGTAAGCGAGCCTATTCAACGAAGTAAGGAAATTGTTTGGCTGCTTTGTACTAAATTGGGAGCTATGTTTTGCTTCATCATCCTTCTCAGTGCTGTCTATATATCAGTGTTGTCAGTATATCATGAATTAATAAAAATAAATACACTTTACATTTAATTAATGCCTTTAATACTAATTATTTTTTTATTTCTGCACCGTTTAATTTCGTATCACACCATCACATCACATTAACAGCCTTTAATAGTCCACCGCTGGACATCGGCATCTCGTTAGAAAAGAGGTTTTGGACTACTAAACCACGCTGGCCAGACGGGTTGATATAGGGTTTGTGTCAAGTTTTCCTTCTCTTTGCAGTGCTGTTATCCTGCGTAGTTATCCCTCCTAGTCGCCTCATACGACACCCATAGGATGAACAAGGGGGGTGACAATCCGCATTCTAAATCCGTCACCACACGGTTAAATTTCATATCACCTACATCTAATAATTAAGTATATAATAGTCTCTTTTTTAGGAAACTAATTAATAGAATTAAATTATAAAAATATCAAGTGAAGCACAAATTAACTTCCAAACAGAAATTCATCACTTCACGTCCAGTAACGTCATGAACAACCATAAAATATGATCCTTTATCACAGTGACACAGTCCATTATAATCCTAAAATATTGTTGATACATTGTTGTCGATTCAAGACCCTGAAATGTCAAATCGGTCCAGCGTTTCTCGAGTTTTAGCGAGACTAATAAACAGCAATTCATTTTTATAAAATAAAAGATTATGTACTTCCTGCAAACAGATTGTTGTTGTGGGTTCGATCCCTGCATGGAACAATACTTTGTATGATCCATATATTGTTGATCTGAGTCTGGGTGTTCCTTGTGTCCGTTTCATGTATGTTTGTAAAGTCCCCCGCGCCACAGGATATATTCCTAATGCGGGAGTTGTCTTTAAAAAAAAAGAAAAAAAAAGAGTTTAATGCCTTAGGCATTTTCTGCCAATGTCAAGATAAAAGGTTTTTTTAATGCTTACACGGTTACTTGCAGGATACCTATGCCTAAAAATTATGGCAACAAATCGTTCAATAATTTAATGGGATACTTTAAAAGATTTGATTGATTTTTATCTATGAATTCACGTTTTACGTACATGACGCGGTAATAAAGCAAAGCCGCGAAGTCATCAAATATAGCTCCCACCCTCCTACGTTCAAATAAAATTGATGAATGTTTTTATTTATTTTATTTTGTATGTGTAAAGAGTTCGAAGAGCCAAAACTTAACAGTACAGCAATACTTTTAGTATGGTACAATACTTTTCACCTAGAAATTTAAACACGTTTGACCCCTGTAACATCCTTGAAGTTAAAAAAAAAAAGAGGATTCATCGACTAAAAGATTTATATTAGGTCCTTACATATGAAATTGGCGTTTTGTACGGGTGGAATATAAAGTCTTTTTTTTTTTGTTAATTCATTTAATTAATCAAAGTGAATCTATGCACTTTTGCCATCTCATATATAGTTCACTAGCTGACCGGCGCAACTTCGTCTGCGTCTCTCAATAGTAATAAATTTTCTCCGTTTTTGAAACATTCTTTATTGGTGCTCCGCTCCTATTGGTCTTAGCGTGATGATATATAGCCTATAGCCTTCCTCGATAAATGGGCTATCTAACACTGAAAGAATTTTTCAAATCGGACCAGTAGTTCCTGAGATTATCGCGTTCAAACAAACAAACAAACAAACAAACAAACAAACTCTTCAGCTTTATAATATTAGTATAGATTGATCCCTTTACTAAAAAAACCATGAGAGCGAGAATCAATAAACTGTTTGAAGGCGGTTTGGAAAAAGTGGTTAGTACGACAAAACGCTAATTTCATACGTAAGGACCTAATATTAAAACAGCACGGATGGCGTAGTGGTTTAAGCGGTCGCCACGCGCACGCTTTTTTTATTGTTGATCCACCCGGGATAGCCTTCTTTTCGGGGACTCGGAAGCCAGGAGTATGTGGTGATTCCATTGAAAACCACCCCGACGGCCGGCCTCAGGTGTCCTACTCTGGGAGGACTCGGACCATGTTATTTCAGGTCCTCCCCGAATTGACACCATGCCTAATCAGGACCTTCCCAGGAGGGGGGTGCCCTTAAACGTGCGCCGCTTACTACGACGCTGAGTGTTGTGGTTTCGATCCCCAGATAGGACGACACTTTGTGTGATCCACAAATTTTTGTTCTGAGTCTGAGTTTTCTTCAGAGTTGCTTACCATCAGGTGACCCGTCTGCTCGTTTGCCCCCTTATACCATAAAAAAAAATACAGCGGTCCCACTGAAAATTCCGATGTTTTTAACGCCCAAAACATTACAGTATTTTTTTTTTATATAGCACAGGGGACTATCGCCGCAAATTAATACCTATGACTCAAAAGACACTAGCTCGTTGCTGCCCTTTGATTGGTACCCATTCCCTTACCCCCTTACTCCTCTGGCGTTCCTAAATTAAGGGTTTGCTTTGACAATCTCACTCACTCAGTGAAAAACAACAGAATGCTTGACACTTCAATCAATCTGACCCATACGTGCACCATGACTATCCCATTGATATTAAAACTGAAACTAAATAGTATTTATCATAATATGTAGTTTTCATTATAAAGAAAATATATTATAATATAAATTTATCTCCTAGAATCAGGGTATATTTACTAAATGATTCAGAAGTGTTACTAAGTTCCATAAACTAAAATCAAAACTTGTTAGAACTAAACTGTGAACGGAGAACTTTTTAATAAGCTGAGAGTATGTAGTCGGTATTTATAAATTGAACTTTAGTAGACTTTCGATATGTGTATAAGTATATCCAAAATTGAATTGTGCATCATTAAAAACTGTTTTCAAAGTCAAACATCAAGTATGTTATGAATCAATAAATCAGTCAATTCCAGTCCACTCCGCTGAATATTGCTATCTCCAAACATGCGACACAGCATCTAGTCCTTTCTATCTCCAGTATATCCCAGCCACATTTCTTAAATCACGACGTCTGACTGATAGGTGTTGGAACGAAGTTCCTTATCGCGCGTTGTGAAAGGGGGCTAGACGGAAAAAATTCTTACGAAAATTGGTCACGACACTTTTTGCTATAGTAAGCTATTGTAAGCTGTACGGCGTCGCATGTTTCTCTGTCTGTCTCTCTCTCTCTCTTATAGAAAGCAAGCCAGATATTTTCATTTCTATCTTTTTATGTCAGTCATTCAGCGCCATCTATCGAATAGATAGGAAATCATCTCTCAAGGAGATTTTACCAATGTATAAATTGTTTTAATTAGAAACCAACAGAAAAATATGTAGGTAATAGCCGCTTTCATAGATGGCGTTGTAATTAAAATGTGCCGAATCAGTTTTACTCGATCGTTACAACTTCGTTCCTATCGGGTGTCCCACGACACCCGATAGGAACGAAGTTGCTTTTATTATTTTTCCTTCCGTTTACGGAAGATCGCGTTCTCTGGATTAAATTTAGCCATTGCATGTACAAGCAATGAATATTTAATGCACTCCAGGCGCTTGCCAAGCGAGGCGATTATGATAATACCTCCTCAAATTTGTACAGCATAAGCATGTACTGTAGAAAGAACATTGTCCGACATAAGAAACTGTAGCAACAAAATTTGACGTTTTTTTACTTCAAAAATGTCGACAGTTTTGTCTCGCGGTTCCTCTCGCGTCACGATTATGTTTCCACCTGTAGGGATTATTTTCTCTCTAGATAAAAGGAACCCTATATTATTTGTCTCTTACAATGAGTACGAAATCGTGAAAACGGAACAAAAACTAACAAATGATACTTAGGATTCCTTAGAAGCAAAACATTTTTCTTTTTATGAGATACTATCCTTTTACGATATATTTACCGAAGATATTCCGAAGATAAAAAACACACTTCGTTATCGACCTGGGACCATTAGAGAGTAATTACTGAAAAATAAACGTATTCTTAATTTACGTATTAAAATATCGTAGAATAAAACAAGTGATATACAGTGACAGTGATGTATAATCACTTGAGCCTGTCGCGTGTTGTAAATTTACCTGAATTCTTTATAGAATGTAGGTAAAATCTGTCTGAATATAAGGTAGAAATTTTTTCCCATTATTAAGCAACATTCTAGAGAGAAAGTCATACTTACAAAACAAGTATAGAGCAGAAACGTTATATTATCATAAGAGCATTAGAAAATTATAGCATTCTAAAAATGGGACGAAATAATGACTACAAAACTTACAATTAGGGCTTACGCCATTGCCTTTATAAATTTACGTACTTTCCTCAAGACTGACAATTTATTTAAAGACTTTTTTTCTTTCACAGATGGCGAGAACGCCGGCGACAGACGACTAAAATGATCTACTCAATAACAACAATGAACATTTGAAATTAATAAAATGGCTTCCAAAATCTATCTCTCAATATTCAGCATGCTGTTTTTGTGTAAAGCATACTTATGTACAATGGACAATTATCCAAACACATCGTTATCAATATCAAATCTAGATAGCATTACAAATTTAGAAAATAAACCAATAAGATTAATCAATAATACTGTTAATTTATTTGAAATTGAAGAATTAAATGAAAATCAAACGTTAAACGAAGACCTAAAAACCAAAGGACAGAATGGTAATGAATCGGAATTTTATAAATTAATGAATCTAAATGAAGATGGAAATTCTTCTGACTACTACACAGAAGAACCTTGTGTTGGTGATCCAGATTTTTGCAATATGGACAGAGAAGAATATATACAAATGTTGAACGATTACATATTTCCTCAACCTTACGAATGGGTTTTGATAGCTACTCATGCTATTGTGTTTGTGATTGGACTAATAGGAAATGCGTTAGTGTGTATAGCAGTGTACAGAAACCATTCAATGAGGACGGTAACGAACTATTTCATTGTGAACCTTGCTGTGGCAGACTTCATGGTAATTTTGATCTGCTTGCCACCAACTGTGTTGTGGGATGTTACCAAGACTTGGTTCTTCGGAACAGCAATGTGCAAAATCGTGCTCTACTTTCAGGTAAGTTTAAATTGATTTTAATAAAGCTATTATAATAAAAATTGATTACATATTTAAACTTTATGGTGTAAGTGTAAAATTTTGACTCGAATAACTTTTTACACGTGTGAGGTTTTAACAAAAACTTTTAGACAGTTGTGTGTCGGTGGATACTAATAAAATACAAAAAGACAATTCATCATAATCATAGTTATTTAAAATTTTAATTTTATTGCGTGATGTAATTAGAATTATATTTATTTATTTATATTATTGTCTTTGTGGCCGAACATGGCGTCATACCATGTCATCTGCATAAACCTCGAAAAAGTAAACTAGACTTCAGTAAAACTCTATGTGCAAGAATGATAGTTCATTGCATAAAATATGTGAATGTCATTTGTTATATTTCAATTTCACGTTGTGTTTATTAAGAGCAACAGGTTATCTTGGCATAGACATGTGATGCCTAGAAATGAGAAAGACGTAGTAATAATGTTTTATGTGTGGAAGTTGACGTGGAACAGAATTGAGGACGACTAGAGAAAAGATGATGGAATGTGTGGAAGAAAATATGGCTAGAAATGCATTAAGCAGTGAACTGACGAGTGATAGAGTAAAATTTAGAGAAGAAGAATCCCCTAGGTTACCCCTGCTGAACGACCGATGGGATGGTTATGTAGGACTCGAACCGACTAAATACCGTACTCTGTCTCGGGTACCAGTAGCCGAAAAAGCAGGTGTAGCCAAGAAAGAAATTCTCTGCTACCCCAACTCAATACAGATATACTCTTTGTTTTCGATGAAACTGAACATCTAAGTATTCTTTCTCCAATGTTTATGAGTCTCTAGGTCTCTCTAGCTCTCTCTAGGTCTCTCTAGGTCTATCGCCTTAATTTCTCACTGAGATAAGACTTTGTTAAGAAGAATGACTTTATAAAACGACACTGCTATTAAATATTGTCAGGAAAATGGTATGGCAATAAATTTTAATTTCGCCTTTATCGGGAGTGTTTAATTAAAACAACCATATTTTACCATCACAATCGAAACCATTTTAAGTTACTGTAAAACCGAGCCAAGAACATTCAATTCCATTGTATTTATAGAATTTCAATACAATCTATATAAATGTTATACCGTAAGTTGTTATTAATAATGAAATCCGCTTTTCATTTTGAAATGATCATTATGATGCGATTCCAATTTTCGGTTCAGGTAAAATCTTTATTGAAGATTACTAAGGCCTGGAATATTTATTTCTTTATATCAGTTTAACAAAATACCTATTTATAACAGCTTGCTAAGGTAACGTAAATTATGGAAGATTGAGCTTTTTTTTCTAGCACCGACTTCTTACGAGTACAATTTAAAATTCTTTGTAAGTATTTTTTTGGTTTACAAATTAGGGTATGGTTACTATCAAATTTTTTGATGCTGTTATTGCATATGCTGTGTACGTGTGGTGACGGACTAAGAATATGGAGTACCATCACTCCTATTCATCCTGACGGTGTCGAAGCCGACTAAGGCAACGAACTGCTCAGGACAACAGCACTTCTAAATGAAGGAAAACTCGACACAAACCCGTATGGCAAGAATGGTTAAGTAGCCCAAAACCTCCTTTCTAAGCAGAGGCCCGTGTCCAGTAGTGGACTAATAAATGCATGAAAATATGTAATTCCATAATTTAATTTACATATGATGGTTTCTGTCAACCATTGCGTCCTTGTGAAGTACAGATTTTAACAAAAAACATCTATTCTTGTCCTAAGAACGTACCTACTCAACATATTAGACTCAAGTTAAATTGGATAACTTTTTCAACTTATTTCAAATTTTGTTTACTGGCATTCTATCGTACAAATTGAAATAAGAAAAATGACAAACTAAAATAAGATATCATCTTAACAAAAACACAACCAAAATAGTTTGAAATGACAAAAACCTTACAAGTGCTGTCTAAATTCCAAAATTAAATGTCACCCGCCTGATCCCAAGCCAGACCGAACTTGAGTAACCAGACTGCTGATAAATATACTTGTACATTTGTAAACCATAGATAAATTAAACCCAGACATAGAACAACTAATCGTGTTAATCATAGAATTATAGTCTTGGGTAGAAATCAAACCCACTACCTCTAGCTTTGTAGACGTGATCAAAAGCTATTAGACCAATAATAAAGTCAAAAAGCCAGTGTAATTAGGTTTAGCTATGTTTTTGGCTATCCGTGTGGTGATGGATGAAGAATACGGAGTGTCAATACCCCTTTATATTCTGTAGGTGTCGTAAGAGCTGACTAACGGAGCAAACTACGCAGGTCAACAGAACTTCAAAGAAAAATAAAACTTGAAACAAACTCTATACCAACTTATCTAGCCAGCGTGTGATATAAGGTCAAAGGCTCCTTTCTAAGGAGAGGTCTATGTCCAACAGTGGACTGTTAAAGGCTACTGATGTGTTGGTGTGTGCGATGTTGGCTATGCTGCAAATATTTCTATCAATTCAAAGTCTATTTGATTCTTAAACAAAGCAGACATCTTGTCTTATTTCAAATTCAGCTAAAAGCAACAATCAAAGATCCTCCATATAAGTACAAGTATTCTTGCTAACATCCTTAATTAAACTAATTGCTTGTGAAAACAACAGCGACGCCAGTATATGGTTCCACTTCTTCGCCCAGTTAGAACATTGCCCAAAGACGTGTATTGAAAGAGCAGTTATGGAACATCCTCACCTTTACGTATGTATTATTTTACACGTGCTATGGTTTTGTAACTGGTACGTGTAAAAAGTTTAGTTGTACTTAACTTACTTAACTGAAATTGACTTATTTAAGTGCGCACCAAAGCTGGTACCACTTAAAAATCTGGTGCCTCTTCTTTTATTTATTTCATCGGCGTGTTTTAGTGTTTAATATAATGTAGTAAAAGCGCAGAAACTTAAAACAAATCTAAGTGTGTACTACGAAGCTTAAAATTATATTAAATAAGTACCAGTATATTTTGACCTGTCATGGTAAAAAATCCATTTTCAGGACAGTTCAATTTATATTAGTCATTATCATCATCATCAACAGCCTTTAATAGTTCACTTCTGGATATAGTCCTCTCCTTAGAAAGGAGGTTTAGGCCTACTATACTACGCTAGCCAAACGGGTTGGTATAGTGTTGGTGACCAGCGTAGTTTGCTCACATAGTCGACTCTTACGACACCCACGGTATGAATAGGGGTGGTGATACTCCGTATTCTTAATCCGTAACGGATTATACGAACGAACATTATACTTGGACGGTTAAATAAAATAAGACATTTAAAACGGGCGAACGAAATTTTATGGCCAACTATCTCCAATATTATTATACATAGAGGCGGTCCTGCACTTTGTTTGACGACTTGTTATTCACAAAATAATTAAACACAGATCGTTCAATTCCATTCATTCACATTGTGAACATTTCTGGAAAATTCATGTGTATTTTAAATTAAATAAACAAACAATTGAAATGTACCAGGTGCGATTTAAATACGAAACCATTGATTCTTACTTGTTGATTGATGTATCCGGGTCTGTAATATAACAAGTCTAAGACACTTATTTGCCTACAGATGGATCGTAACATAGTAAACTATTTGTAATATATACTACTAACGCAAATGAACGCTGTCTTCATTTCCATTTTGATCGACTGGCTTGTTCGTCAAATGTTTTGTAACTTTGGGTTCAATTCTCATCCAAGTCTAATAATTGTGTGATGATGTGCCATTTGCTCTATGTCTGGGTGTCATCATCATCAACAGCATTTAACAGTCCACTATTGGGCATAGGCCTCTCTCTAGAATGGAGGTTTTGGCCTACTATACCACGCTGGCCAGACGGGTTGGTAAAGGGATTTCAAGTTTTCCTTCTCTTTGCAGTGCTATTGTCCTGTATAGTTGGCTGCCGCAGTCGGCTCTTACGACACCTACGGACGATGTGATGATGTGTGTGGTATATAATATGTATGTATTTAGAAATGTATAAGTATGTTTATCAGCAGTCTGATTACCATAGCACAAGCTCTGCCTACTTTGGGGTTACCACAGACTGCCATGTTTGAATTTGAGTATGAGATATGTCAAAATGTTATTATTTCATACAATAAATCTATTTCTATGTCGAATTTCATCCATATCCATTCAGTCGTTTTGTTGTGATTAAGTAAAAAGCATCGATCCATACTGTCGCATTTATGTACTAAGATTATTACAAAGAAGTTTTGACATGATCAAAATTGACAAAGTCAAAAGGCCTGCATCTAATTTTAACCAAAGAATCAAAAATATGCTTTCATTTTTTGCTCCAACTTATCATTTTGTAGCTATAATCTAAAGCCATTAGATGCTATCAAGAAGATGTAATGGGGTGCTCCCTGAGTGAAAAATAGATTTGGGGGCTTGCGCCGGCTACAAAGACATGTTACACCGTTACGACACTCTATTGAAGTGCTAATATAATAAACTTATTTTAAAACTGGGTTTTATTTTTTTATTTATTTTTAAAAACTCATTCCAATACAACTGATATATTACGAGTAATTAATTAAGTAAGTAAAAATTCATTTAACTTCATTTAATTTATTTACTTTGTTTATGTTGAAACACCCGTCTGGACAGCGTGATATAGTAGTCCTTCTTTTTAAGGAGAAGCCTATGTCCAGTAGTGGACTATTAAAGGCTGTTGATGATGATGATGTTGAAACACTGTATGCCTCTTGGTAATCAAATAATAAATTTAAGCAAAAACCACTTACATGAGGTTTCACAAAAAAATAGTTTTGAAGTAAGTAAATACCATTGATATTTTAAAAGGTCAAGTATAGGTTTTAGGTTAGAAATAGAGTTTTTGGTCTCTTAATTTTCCTTTGTAAAAAACGTTTAGTAATGAAATTAATATTTATGTAATTTTTATGTTAATTAATCAATTTAATAAGTTTGTTCATTTGCATTTTAAAAGGAAAATTTAGAACATTTTTCCC